TGCGGTCCGGCTCCGTCGGCTCCTTTGTCTCCGCAGCCCGCGGGGGCCTCGGCAGCCGGAAGGCCGGGCGGGCGCCCTCGGCAGCGGGAAGGCCGGGCCGGGCCCGGGAGGCGCTCGGGTCCGCGCGTGAGCGGTCGGCCCAGACAGGGTTAACAGGAGAGCCCAGCCGGTCCCGCGCTGCTGCGGCCTCCGCGGGGGACTCGAGTCCTGGGGGGACAGAGCCTGCCATGCTCAGTGCCCGAGACTTTCCCTAAACCACCGATGTCGCCGCCGGGATCCCCAGGAACGCGGTTGCGAGAAAGAAGTCGCTAATTTGCCAGGTCATCTGTGCCGGGGCACTGTTAATCAGTGTTTAATTTTTAAAACCTCTCCAACTGTATTGAATCAGCGTGCCTAGCCTGAAAGGTGCATCGTGAAAACTGAAACCCAAGTAAGGGCACGGGCCTGCCCTGGGTGTGCTCCCACTTTAAGGTTGTTCTCGGTGCTTTAAGCCTGTGTGGACTGTCTAGTGGACACATCTGTTTAAAGCAGGGGTGAGACCACAATCCTAAAAGGGGGATTGATAACGTGGAAATTAAGTAGTGTTCTCCAGACACCGTTTGCTGTCTCTTCAGGCAAGTTACTTTCTGAAGTATAATTTTTATCTGGAAAAGCATTAGTGCTCTTTGTAAATGATCTGTGTGACGTAGTTGCAGAATTTAAAATGCACCCTGATTTCTTATGTAGAAGTTAGTGGTTTGAGTTTTGGCAAGTAGTTTATTTCACATAAAGATTTACTCAGGTTAGTTTAAATTTGTCACTGTTATATTTTGGCACTAATGCCTTCAATTTTAAGGAAAGTGATAGCTTTAACTCCCTTTATTTAAGTTTTTCAAAAGCAAGAGATTTTTGCGTGTTAACTCTTGACATTAGAGTCTCATTGTTTTGCATTTTTGCAAATCTTTCTAATGCATGGTTTAACTACAAACAGCTAGATTTTCAGATCTACTTCTTCAGTCTTGTGGTATCACGCCATGTAACCACTGGAAAGCTCCACTGTACATCATAACTTTTTTTTAAATTGTGACACCCCATCCTGTTTTCACCATTAAGTACAGTCAGGATGTGATGCAAGCCCTCCATGAAGAATATGAGTAAGAAGAATGATTCTTAGGTGTTTTTTTTTTTTTTTGCGAGGGGGGTTCTTAAAGATGGGAATTTAGATGCACAAATGATATAAAGGTTATAATTTACATATAGTCTTGGACACTCTGGAACATTGGAAATATTTAAATGATGAAAACATTTTAAATTCCAATACATGTGTTTAGTGATGTACACAAATAAAATGAATTCCACAGTAGTTGTGCTTGTAAAGATTTGTGTGTAAATGTTATCTTTCAAAAGGACACTTAAAGCACTATAGGAGCTCCAGTTTTAAAAGGCACCCTGCAGTGAGACCTTTGGTGAAACAAAGCGTAAGTAGTATGCAGTTATGTACCGGTAGAGTTCTCTTGTGTGAGTCAATCTGGGTTTCCTAAGTTGGGGATGATAAATGTGTAAAATTTCAAGATGACACTTGGGCTTAATGGTTTTGAAAGGAAGCTGTTTCCAGTTTCTGTGAACTTTAGTCTGAATCTGTCAGTCTGTAGTTCTCTACTGTTCCATCAACAGGAAGCATCTGGCCATTCTTCAAGTAATTGTTGGAAAATGCCAGATGTATTTTTAATGTTTGCTATCATATGAAAAAATATTGGATCTTGGTTAATTTCACTTGATTTTGGTTGGCTTTTTTCCTTCCCCTGGCATTTTAAAAACATTTAAGTGTCTCAGGTAACAGGTCAAACATGTTATTAGGAACTGGAAAATTGTTGCATGAAATTTGGAATCAAGAGTTTAGTTTTGAGGGACCATGAGGCCCTTAGTTTCTCTTGAAAGTTGAGTAGTGTGGATCAATGCACTGATGGCTTCCAACACATCTCACTTTGCAAACATTAGAAACTCCAGATAAGTTCCTGGACTTTTAGGAACTTAATAAAAAAAGACAAATAATTGTGATTTGATACTTGTATACAATGTGTAAGTGATCAAATTAGGTAATTAGCATTTCTGTCTCCTGAGCATTTTTGTGTGTGCATGTGTTGAGACCTTTTAAATTCTTTTCTCCAAGTTCTTTATAAAATACATAATTGTAAACTCTGTTCACTCTACTGAAGACAGCTAGCTTTCCAGTGAATATTATTCCTTTGACCCCATAATTTACAACAAGTAATCACATTTCTGTGGCATTAATATCAACTTTGGGTCAATGATAATTAGCATTTTACTTTTCTGAAGATGTTGGTTCCATCATTCCTGTAAAAGATAAACCTAGTGTCAGATGAAATTACTGGGAGGGCTCATTTGTTTCCTCATAACAGGACTGCTGTGCAGGAAGTGTGTTTTGCTACGATTGGATATCATTTCAGGCTTGTGTACCTTTGTTTGGGCCCAGTGTGTTCATGCCCTCAAAGAGTAGACTTAGGCTGGAAGTGATTTTCTTTCATAGCTAAATTTTGATTTATCATGATGTAATAAAGATACAAAGCATATCAATTGTAGCATTGTTGATAATACTTGTATATTGACTGTGGGTAGGCTAAAGCTTGGGAGAGCACCCACTCAGTGGAAGGGTACAGTATGTTTGAGGCTCTGGGTTCATTCCCTGGTACTGCCCAACATACACACAAAAGAAGAAAGTAAAGCTACTAAAACTTAACCCCCTATAATAATGTGAAATGAATAATACCTCCATTTTTCAGGAAACGGTGCAGAGGCATAGAGGAGTGAATGAAGCAGCTGAACTGAGGAGCTGAATTAGTGGTAGAGCCAGTACTTGAATTCAGTGTGACTGAAGAGTCAAAGACCAGTCACCATGTTGTAAAACTAAAGGGAAAAACCCCCAAGAACCCTACATGTTTCAGAATGATTGTATAGCTCTATGGGACCTGCCTACCCAGTTACAAAAGGGATGAGAGTAGATTGTTCATACATGAAAAAGCTATATTGCTATATGTAAATGAAAAAACTAGGTTTGAAATCACGAATCAATTTATTTATTTATTTATTTTTTTTGGTCTACCTGTAGCCCTAGTTTGCCTGGACTTGGCTGTGTAGACTAGGCTGACCTCAACCTCAGAGATCTGCCTGCCTTTTCCTCTGGAGTCCTGGGATTAAAGGTGTGCACCACTACTCCCAGCTCATGATGCCATTTTGATGATTTAAAAAGACAAATATTTTGACACCTGGAAGAATATATGGCAGATTGTAGAGGGGCTATTTCTGTGTGTAGTTTTACAATTATTTATGCTTACCTAAATTTCCTACAATGAATTATTTTGTATTACGATTGACGGCATACTAAGATGTTACTTTTAGGGGCTGGAGAGATGGCTCAATGGTTAAGAGCACTGACTGCTCTTGCAGAGGACCGAGGTTTGGTTCTCAGCACCCACGGGATGGCTAACAATCTCAAGTTCCCGAGCAATCTGATGCCCTCTTCTGGCCTCTTTGGGCATTGCATAACACGAGTGTACTTACATAGAGTTAGAACACTCACACAAAATTTTTAAAAGTTACTTTTGGGGCTGGAGAGATGGCTCAGCAGTTAAGAGCATTGGCTGCTCTTACGGAGGACCCAGGTTCTAATCTCAGCACCCACATGGCAGCTAACAACTGTCCATAACTCCAGTTCCAGAGGATCCAATGCCCTCCTCTGACTTCCGCAGGCATCGCATGACAAGGATGCACTTACATATATGCAGGCAACACATGCGTACACAAAAAATAAATAAAAATAATAAAAATAAAATACTAGCCGGGCGTGGTGGCGCATGCCTTTAATCCCAGCACTTGGGAGGCAGAGGCAGGTGGATCTCTGTGAGTTCAAGGCCAGCCTGGTCTACATAGTGAGTTCCAGGACAGCTGGGGCTACAGGGAGACCCTGTCTCAAAAAGACCAAAAAAAAAAAATTATTAAAGAAAAGTTACTTTTAACTATAAAATTAAAGTATTTGTAAAAGCTGAGGAATACCTTCCTTTGTGCTGTGTAGTTGATGCAGTTTGACTTATGAATTGGGCATAATTGATAAATTCATTAAACAGTGTATATTTAAAAAAGTTAATTTGGGGCCAGGAGAGATGGCTCAGTGGCTAAGAGCACTTACTGCTCTTCCAGTGAACCTGGGTTCAGTTCCCAGAACCCACATGATGACTAACACCAGTGTATAACTCCATTTCCAGGGGACCTGATGCTCTCTTCTAATTCTTGTGGGCACTGCACACATGGTGTACTTCGATACATGCAGGCAGAATGCTCATACACACACACACACACACACACACACACACAAAATAAAAAAAAATTGATTTGTTACCATTCTAGAAGTCATTTAAATTGAATAGAGAAAAAGTATTTATTTTGCTTTTTCTTTGCCTTATTATTTTAAATGTTGAATTTATCCCAGTTATTGTCTGGGTATGTGCTGTTAAGCAGTTTACTCTTAACCCCTGTGTGCCTTAGTTGTCTTTTTGTACAGTAGGGATTACTCTAGTGCTTATCACAGTGGGATGATTAAATGAGTATGTATAAAGTGATTAGAACAGTGCCTGGCATAGTTAATAACTCAGTAAGGTTTTTTTTTTTTAAAACAAGATCTCACTGTAGCCTCAGCTGGCTCAGAACTCACCTTGTAGCCCAGGCTGGCCTGGAACTTGAGGTACTCCTGCTTCAGCCTCTCATGCTAGTGGGATTATAGGCATGAAGCACTATGCCCAGTTTAGGGTGCATGATTATTATGGGATCTCAGCCTATATTCAAAACTCTTGGGATTAATAATCTTGGAATTAAGATTTTTTTTTGCATATGAACAAAGTAATAATGTTACTTAACCTTTGAAAGCAGTCCAGTGCGTTATCCCTTTCCAAACATTACTATTTCACATGTAAAATGTCTGGGTGTTTAGGCTAAATGTTATAGACTAAGTGGTTTCCTGTCAGTTCTGGTAAGGGTTATTTGTTGTTTCAGTTTGTTTTTGAGATAGGCTTTCGTTAGCCCAGGTTCGCTTCAAACTCAATAGGCAACCAAGGCTGTCTTGATCCTCTTGTTCCATCCTTCCAAAGTGCTGTATTATAGGCATGTGCCACTATACCCAGCTCCAGGTAAGAATTTACTGTCAAGTGAATTATGTTGAGCTTCAGAGCAATATTTTTTTCTTTTTAAATTGGCCTTTTTGAGACAGGGTTTCCTTGTAGCCCGAATAGGCCTGGGAACTTGCTGTGTAGACCAGGCTGGCCTCAAACTCACAGAGATCCGCCTGCCTCTGCCTCCCAAGTGCTGGGATTAAAGGCCTGTGCCACCATACCTGTCTGCTACTTCTTTTTTTTTTTTTTTTTTGAGTTGCACACAAATCTGTGGTAGATGTGCCTGTAGTTTGAACACGAAGGAGGCTGGGGTAGAACTTTTGAGTTCTGTGATAGCCTGGGCTGTTAGCCAGATTACCTCAGACCAAATATACAAAACAAAACAGAACCTTTTTATTTTTAATCTACTGTTTTCAATACTATTTTAATATTAAAACATCTTTTTGTAGTTGTAG